TAGAACCCCCCCGCAGCCTCCTCGTCTCCAAGCTAAACAGACAGACCTCTCTCAGCCTTTCCTCACATGGAAGGTGCTCCAGGCCCTTCATCATCTTAGTGGCCCTGAGCTGGGCCCTCTCCAGTAGTTCCTTGTCCTTGAACTGAGGAGCCCAGAACTTAATTTACTTTTCTGAAACCTTTTTAATGAGCTCAGTAAGTACAGGTTGTTACAAGTGACACTCGTGCATCTTAGATTTACTTACCTAAACAAAATGAAAATCTTTTTCATAGCAAACTTATTTGGCTGTTTTGGGATATGCTTGACTTTGTTGTTGTTGTTTTTCAGGTAAATATGCTGAAGATATATTTGGGGAGCTTTTCAATGAAGCACACAGTTTCTCCTTTAGAGTCAACTCCTTACAAGAACGTGTAGATCGCTTATCTGTCAGTGTTACACAACTTGATCCAAAGGAAGAGGAACGTAAGTTAACTCCTGCATTGAAGATTTTTGTTGCCCAGACATCACTGATAGGTGAAATGGAAATAATAATAGTTTAAATTATGTTTATAAGAACAGAGAGCAATGCGTTATGAGAAAGAGATCCATTTCTGTTTCTGCTACAGGTTTCTTTATAGCCTTGAGCAGCTTCCTGAGCTCAACATTTTCATGGTTACTGAACAGTATGAATTTACTACCAATGAATTTACATAAAACCTGCCACAGGAATATGTCACTTCAGTAGTATTATACATTAATGTCAATAATGTTATAAATTATGTGACTCCTTGGAGATAAGTCTGTACTCCCTTTTTTCTTTTTTTTAATGTTCCTACTGTTTCCCATGGGATGTACCCATTTGTCCATTAGGGTTCTTGCATTTAACTCAAACCATTCTGTGATTCTATGGTAACGAGTTGGAAGGGACCTTAAAGACCACCCCCGGCCATGGGCAGGCCCACCTTCCACTAGACCAGGTTGCTCAAAGCATCTTACTTCCTGTACAGCTGTATGGCTCCATTTATTGATGCTATATATCCCCCTGGACTCTTCCAAAATAGCCTTAAGTACTATAAATATTGGTGAGCCTTGAGAAAACAAGTACTTCTAAAAGTCAATAGGATATGGCTTAGGCCTATAAGATTTTGTATGGGATGTAAATGGTGCATAGGGTTTGCCATGGCTGTGGAAGCACTGACCACCTAGTATGTAAATGCCATGAAGCTTTTTTGCCTTACTGGATATATGTGAGTTATAGGTGGAACTATAAAAAGTCTTGTAACTCCAAACAGGTTTGAGTCATAGAATCACAGAACGGTTTGGGTTGGAAGGGACCTTAAAGACCATCCAGTTCCAACCCCCCTGCCATGGGCAGGGACACCTTCCACTAGACCAGGTTGCTCAAAGCCTCCTCCAGCCTGGCCTTGAACACTTCCAGGGATGGGGCATCCACAGCTTCTCTGGGCAACCTGTTCCAGTGCCTCACCACCCTTTCCGGGAAGAACTTCTTCCTGATGTCTAATCTAAACCTCCCCACTTTCAATTTAACCCCGTTACCCCTTGTCCTGTCACTACAGGCCCTTGTAAAAAGTCCCCCCCAGCTTCCTTGTAGCCCCTTCAGGTACTGGAAGGGGCAATAAGGTCTCCCTGGAGCCTTCTCTTCTCCAGGCTGAACAAGCCCAAGTTTGGGGTGTTCTAGATTGTACGACTGAGACCTAGAAAGTAGAGCAACTTTGTGATGTGAAAAATAACTTCAGATTGCTTGTGGTATGCAATTTTAAAATCTAGAAAGCTGTTTCAGTTCTGAATGTCTAGGTGTAATAGTTGTGTGTCATTCAGGGAAAATGAGGTGTCAAAGCAGGAGCACGGTCTTCAGGCTACGTTAAGTTACCAGTGCCGAAATGTCACTAATAGTAAAATTAAGCTAAGGAAGTTTTGATTCTGTGTTTTGGTGACATTACTTTTAGAACAGGTTTTGAAAGACAGCTAGTAGCAGATTTTCCATGAAATCGTGACTTGCCTAGGGGAATTCTTACATTAATGGGATTTTCCAAGCCTCTTGACAACTGCGCCTAAATCATACACATACACCTCCTTTTCCAACAAAATACCGTGTTTACTGTGATTGGGTAATGACAAGAACCCTTTCTGTGTACAGTAACAAATTGTCAGCCATTGTAATCTTGTAAGAGCTGTAATACTGCAATACTCCAGAGTGTTAATGTCATTTCTGCGTTTACCCTTGACAGCCTAGTTTTTGGTTTAAATCAGAGTGGGGTATACGTTGATAGGCGTATCTAGTATGGTAACCATGTACGCTTCAGGAAAGGGAGAAACCGTGTGAAGGATCTTGCAGGATAGCAAGATGGAAAGTTGTACTTTCCTGTGTAAATGGCCCTTGGTAAGTTTGGCTGTAGGTTTCAGTTACTAAATATCCGTAACTATTTGACATTAGAGAATCGCTAGCAATATTTGTAAATAGTATGTAGTCTCAAATGCACCAGATCAGTACCTTTTCACAGTACTGTGTATACTGTAGCATTTGCTAAAGTCTGTAGCTGAAGAAAGGGACAGACACCACCGGTAAAGAAAACAGGGCTGAAAAGAGGTCTACTTGACCAAGTCCAGAGTGGCTCAGTGTGACTCGAATCTGATACCCTGGATTTGTCTCTCATTCCATAGAACAGCAGTGACTGCTAGTACTTCAGAGGAACACATGCAGTCCTCGGTGTAAGGAACTATTAAATTACTATTTTTACTAATCTAAGAATATCCAGTCCTTGAGCCATACCCAGTGTTCTTTATTCACACGTTCTGCCCAGAATGAGTCACCAGATGAGGACAAAGAAGATGAGAGGAAGTTTGGTATTACGTTTCCTTAAAAATTAGGGATCGGGAAACTGTTTCTCCTTCAGTATCCTGTTTTGGGCTTGAAATTTAGAAATTCATCACAAAAAGTTTTGTTTTGCCCCTGATCTGGGCTGAAATAGCTGGATGATGTTAACAAGTGAAAGTGTTGGGGGGGAAACATTTGGATTTACCTTCCTTAGCTTTCTTAACCCTGCATGCAAGAAGCGAATTTCAGTGCTTCTGCTCAGCTAACAGCATGTGTAAAATGGGAAATACGTGTAAAATGAGTCTCATTTGCTAGTTCTTTGCCAGCAGGCAGTAATAGGAGGTTTAATGTGTTCCTTTGGGCCCATGCTATTACACAAGAGGAAGAAATTAAGATTCATTTAAAGCTAAGTGGCATGAACAGAAACAGCCCAAGTCAGACTCATTGAGTGAGGTGCAGATACTCAACGAGATGTTTTTGGTAGAGTCAAAGCAATAAAAACTCTGACTTATTTGAATAGTCTGTGTGTTTTCTCATTTTGAATTATTACAATATCTTTGTGAAAGAATAAAACTAAATGAAGCCAAGGTTAGGATTGCATCCTGGAGGAACTAACTCCTCGTGCGCAATCTTTCTGTCACAGAATAATTGCTATGAACTTGGTTTGGTTTGAATTATTACACTGTTTTCAAATTCTTGATTTCACAGAATCACTTATTTCATATTGTAATCAATTTTTTTTTTTACATACTTTATTTTGTTTACATACATGTGGGTTTTTTCCCCCCTCAGAAGAGATACTAAACTTGCATATAGACAAAAAGATATCCTCTGCCTTCCTTCAGTAAACTGAACTTTATTTCAGTTGTATGGGGAAGCTAGCCTATATATATTCGAGTGATCACATCTGGAGTCTTTTTAGGACTGGGAAAGCACATTTTTGCTATGGAGGTGAACTAGTTGACAGTTTCAGTAACCCTGCAACATAAGATAATCTTATAGGTCAGAAAATAAACCCTAAGAGTGTAGTTTCTTTGCAGTTATTTTTAGATACTCAGCCCATTGTGAGACTTGGAAGAAAGAGTGCTAAAGCCCATTTTAAGGGGCAGCTCACTTACCGTCTCTAGCCTCTGAAGAGGAGCTTGGTGACTAATGTAATCAAAGTTAAGAGCAGGGAGCACATGAAAATGGGGTCATGACCTCCACATGTAATATGTTAATGTGGAGAATAACACTACTGTTGATTCATTAATAAGAATTTTTACCCCCAAAGTCAAATAATGAAGAAGACTGTTAAATTAAATTAAAGGAGGTCACCTTTCCTGGCACATCTCCACTTAACTAAGCGTTGGGTTTGAGTGTGTCTCTCCCTCAAAGGTCTGTGCAGATGGGCTGAGCTCCAACTCCTCTCTATACTTTTTCTTGCAATTTTCGTAGCCGTCAGTTCAATTGATGGGTTATTCAGTAAGTAAATCAGTTTTAAATTAATGTGCCCAAGGCTTAATAGTTCAGTGGCAAAGCCATGATATTGCACGATTTGTATTTTATATATAAAAAGAGGGCTCTGGACAAAATGTCATTTGCTAAGTAACGTGGCAGTTTTGTTGACACTCACCAGCAGATTCAGTGCTTGATGCAGCTGGGTGATTCGCATCTTCCCTAGGGCTGCTCAGGGCTCCCTGGTTCTACATGCTGCATTTAAAGCAGCTTCTCAGTCCTCTTAAAGTGATTGCTCTAACATTTACATCTTCCCTTTGCTGTAGTAGGTAAGCTACATACATTCTCTATTCAAAGAGTGCTTGAGCTACTTTGGATTTTTTTTTTAAATCAGAATTTCAGAAAATTTGAATTTCTTGTGTTGGGGACAAGCCCAGAGGAGACCAAGTTTATGTTCTGCAAAAGTGGTCTTTCTGCTTCGCAGCTATAAAACCTGCAGGGACCAGTCAGAAGTATTCTGATGGCAGAGAAACCTAATATGTGCGAGATTCTAGGCATTGTTGAAATGAATAATTGTTTAAAAAATAAAATACATAAAGTAGAAATCAGACTTCAGGACTGCAGCATCTTCAGGAACGGAATCACACAAATCTTCGCCTGAAGAGAGTTTTCACATACACCCCCAACCCCAGTTAATTGCCTTTAATTGGAATCTTACGACTAAGTTGTTCATTTGATATCAGCATGATTTCTTCCCTGCACTTTTCAAATTGCTGGGTAAGATTTTGAACAGGGAAAGGGAATTGTGGGCAGCTGAGTCCATTGATTTATACATAATCTCCCATAGTCAGTCTGTTCTGCAAGGAACCACAGCTGTGACATTCGAGAGTTCATGGTCTTAAAAGTTGTCAGGGTGAAATTCTACAGAAAGTGTTGAGAGAGCAAGCTTCCGAAAGGGATAAATTTTATTTAGCTATTTGCCACCTTTAGGAGAATGGTGTTTTTTGGCCTAGAACCTCTTCATAAATTGTATATTGGAGTGAGATTAAAAGAATAAAAAAATCTAGTAACAGGTTTATTTCTTCTGGTGAGGTAAAATAAAATGAAATATTTAATAACTTTGAAATTTAAAAGTAGCTACTTTCTGTCAGTAGGCTGATATGCTCCATACCTGACTTTTACTACAGACTGGGGACTACAGTATAATGAGAGGCTTAACAAGAGGCAAAATATTATATATATATTACTGATGTATTCTTTTACTTATTGTGTAGTTCAGCCCAAAGAAGCCCAGTTATTGTAGCTTCTTAGAGTGCAATTTAAATACTTTTTTTTTTTTCCGCAGTTCGTTGTTGATTAGAAATAAAATGGGCTGGCATCTCTTTTTTTCAAAATCAAAAGTTTGGTAGATAAGCTCTCTGACAGAGATAATTTTTAATTATGTGGAAAAACCTGTGGTGTACAGTACAGGCTGGCAGACATAATAAGTCTTTTCTTACAAGCCAAACAACTGACACAGGAAAGATAAACTGGCATTTGTTCAGATTGTTGCAAGAGTGTTTATCTTAAATTGTGAACATCTCAACATTTAAGGAAATTATTTAAGACCCCTTTTTTTTTGCTCATTGCAGTAAACACAAGTGGTGTAACAGATGGACTTTCAGGAAAATGTATCCATATGAAATGTAGCATCTTGGGCTATGTGAAGGTTCTGGTGCTGGTTCGGAATTAGGCAACTGGAAGCTTAGATTTATCAGCTTTATCCAGTCAAATGCCTGCAGCATTTCCAACTCCTCCTTCAGCCTCTCGTCTCTTCTCACACCTGAAGTCCTACATCCCATTTGCTTGATCTGTCCCTTTGCTGTGCCAGTTTGTCAATCAGCCAAAGCTAAGCGGCCGGATGACCAGCCAGGTTTTCATGTGTTCTGCCCCCTGAGGCATCAAGCCACGCAGGGCTTCTGTTTCTTAGCCAGCTGGCAAGCTAAGCACACGGCTTTGTAAGCCAAACTCTGCACAGCCCAGGATTACGCTGTGCCTGCAACGTGGGATTTACCTGATCCCTGTCTGCAGGCGAGTTACACCCGTGTCACGATGCTCAGTATTTTGGGTGCCACGTCCTTTCACTTTCTTAGTCATGTCGTCCTAACACAGTCCGTTGTTCTGAATAATGGCACGCTTTTCCGTGAATGCCAGCCATCGGATATCCGCGCAGGAAATGCCGTTAGGTCTTTGAAATTCCAGTGTGTGTTTTCTGTGAACACCTTTGCTATGTGTCTTAGTGTTAGAGAGAAAGGAATCTACACTTAATTGTTGAGTATTGATTGATTAGCCTCCTGTGTCTTATCCCCTTGTGCGTGTTTACAAAAAGCGGAGATTTAAACAAGGAAATGGAGATGATGAATTAGGGCGGCTGTATTTGCTCACTGGAGAGATTAAGGAATGCTAATAAAGAGCTTATAGAACGATGTACATCTCAATAATGAGGTATCACATACTCTGTGAGCATTTTAGTATTGAAACAAAGAACTGTCTTTATCAGAATAAATGAATTTACTTAGTTGTCTTCAAAATATACACAGGTTCAGACAGAAGTATGCTAACTTTTATTTTTGCTGGCGTAGTCTCCAGTAAGAGACAGGCAGTTTAAAGACTTGCGGGATTGCCAAGCAACTCTGAACGAGTACACTTGGTGAGATTTGTAAAACCAGCAACTCCAAGGAAAAACAGCTGAAGTATAAAAGAATCGAAGACTAGGTTTTTAGATGAGTAAACCCTAGTTCTTCTAATTGTGAACTTACGCCAGCAAATAACAACCTGTACTTCATGAAAGGCACAAAATGTATGTGGTTATTTATGAGTGCAAAAATACCTGCAGAAATTGAGGCTCCTAGCTGACATGCATACATTATAATACTTCTTTAACACACTTAAAAGGCTTCTGAGCAGCTAATTAAAGGTATTAAAAAGAATAAAAGACACTGTAATGAAATAGAACCTAAGGGTAAAAAGAAGGAAACTTCTCCAGGAACACACAGTCTTGCCAACTGTAATAAACTTCAGAAGCCAAACTGAAAATCAAATAAATCCCATCTTTAGCCTCACAAAGGATGCTGCCAATGTGCTTAGGTAAGAAGATAGAACTTTCCAGGAATTGCAAGCCCTCTGGAAAAAATCCTGCCTTCTGCCCCTTGGTGATCATACGACAGAAATCCATCTGTGTGTGTGTGTGTGTACACTTGTGTGTGTTACAGAAATTGGAGTAAAATGCAGCTTTCATCTTGAATAGGGGCACTCTTAAAAAATTGTTGCCAAAGGCCCTAGTGATACCGGGTGGGGGGAGGTGGGCAATGTCCTCTCCAGTAAAGGGGCACTACTGTCAACCTGGTTGTATAAAGTAAACATAATTATTCATAGATAAAATGCATATGCTTAAAATACTCTCTTTGTTAGTGAGTCTTAAAACTGTCTGTTTTCAGTATTGTTTGTGATTTTTTTAAAAAAAAAAAAAAGGCCAAACCAATGAAAAGGACTGCTGCTTTATCTAGTGAAGGTCTAACGCTGGCTGCAAAATTAGTCTTGAGGCACCTGGACTTCACAGGTAACTGAAGATCAGGGAGGAAGAGAAATAGGAGACTGAATAGGTACACCGTGTCCAGAAGTAGAAGTGCAAGTTTCATCAGTTGCCGTCGCTTTTCCATTAATCTCTTTCTAAATTGTAATGATTCTGAAATAGAAAAAGGTACATGGGCTTTAACAGCACCAAGTCAGTATATTTCAATTCACTGTTTAATCTATCATGTTCACTTAGTGTTATTTCTCTTTGAATCTTATGTTAAAGATAATTGGTTATTCCTAATTACTGTGCTTAAAAACTCGATGTGTCTCACCTGAATTAAACAGAGAAGTCTCATCTTGATTAAAGAGGCTGATTAAAAACCACTTGACTAGTTCCATGTGCTGGAACATAGTATCACCTCCTGTTAAAACTCGCTGATACCGGTAGCATAAGCTGAAGTGATTCGCTGGTTTGGCATCTCAGTGGGCCGTCGGTAGAACTGCTCCCTACGTGCAAGGAATGCAAAGTGTGGCTTGCTGATAGTATAAAGGTAAAATCTATACTGAGAGAAAGAGAGAGTAATTTTTTAGTACCAAAAGGATTGTGAAATGGAGATGAGCAAAAATTTCCTGTGAAGCTAAATAGAGGATAACGTGCTAGAACATTATGAGCATGTTTTTCACGTAATCTGACGATATCTTGTTGTCGCAGTAGTGCTGGATGAATTTGTTGGTTGCAAGTAGTAATACTTAATATTTATGTTCTAACCAGCATTAAGCAATTGCAGAATAATCCAAATAAAGTCTCTGTGGTGTTTTGTTTTTTTTTTTAAAATGACAATATCCCCTTTCAGTGTCACTGCAGGACATTACGATGAGGAAAGCCTTCCGGAGTTCCACAATTCAAGATCAACAGCTGTTTGACCGCAAAACTCTGCCTATTCCTTTGCAAGAAACTTATGACATTTGTGAACAGCCTCCTCCACTTAACATCCTCACCCCTTACAGGTTAGTAAAATAAAATTAATCAAAGCCCATTTCTAGCTTATTTTATGTAATAGAGATGCTATATCCAAGCACCTCATGCCGAGTAGCACTTGAATATTTAAAGAGCCACACTAGAAAACTGTGAAGCTGCTGGGGGAATACACGCAGCAGAAGCCGTTATAAGCATTAAAACTTTACTCCCCTTTGCTCAAATATTACCCCAGTGTAACAACAGTAAGAAAGAGCCATTTTTATTATCTGTATTTATTATATTGTGCTTTTGGATGCAAAGTGAAGAAAATAAGCAGTTAAGTATGTAGAGAGAAAGGTCTTTAATGGAAATGAATGTTGTTTTATGTCCCAAAGTCGATTTCAATCAGTAGTTGAACACATGCAGCCACACAAATTTGCTCATTATGTTAAGAGCAAGATTTGAGTCATTGGAATTGGAGTTCTCCGATTTATGATACCCTTTTTTTTTCTTTTTTCTTTTTTTTTTTTTAACCTAAAGCTTGTGTTAAAGTTAATTTTTAAAATCAGGACCTTGAGTACAAGGAAAGATAGTAAAGAATGATGGCACAGGAGGTCAGTGTTCATCATTTTAATGTTATTCAGCAAAATATTTCAGGGTCTGAGATACTAGGTACTCCTTAACATGCCTTTCCTTTGCCTTCATGTTTGGATTCATGTGTTGTCAAATAAGTAGCACACCCTGTTTGCATCACTGTATTTCAGGGATGATGGAAAAGAGGGTTTGAAGTTTTATACCAATCCTTCATATTTCTTTGATCTGTGGAAAGAAAAAATGTTGCAGGACACCGAGGACAAAAGAAAAGAAAAGAGGAAGCAGAAGGTATGTATGTTATCTTTATAGAGCTTCTGGTGGGTTGGGTTTTTTTTCCTGGAGAGGGTTTTCTTGCAGATACTGTACTTTTTCGGTTATGCCGTTCATAACAATCTAAACTTTACAGACTCCTCTTCATTCAGCTAAAACTACCTGTATTCATTCAATCCCATCAACTTTAACAAATAAATATATAATAATAATGATAAAATAATATAGAAGGGCCGAAAGTTTTCATGCTGTCCTAATGCAACTAACAGCAAGTTTGCCAAAGCTTGTAAGTCTTCTCGCAATGACTCAAAAAGGAGGAATACAGCAAGAATAAACAATTTCACTGGTACACTTTTTTGTCATACAAAATTCTGACACTCTTACAGGTGAAAAAGCTTGAATGACATTCTTCACTCTAAACTAGACAGAAATGAGTAGGAATGGAGCACTTCGTTCAATTTTAAGAAGATATAAACAAACACTTTTGCAAAGCTAATGTTACTTTTTTTATTTCACCATCATTCTGTGTATTTCATTCGTAGAGAGTAAATGTGTCAGATTCATGATTTCATTTCAGACAGAGTAAAAAGCTATTTATACAGTTATTTTTCTCTGTGTTATTCAGGTACTTATCCATTAGAATGAAGTTTATGCCTCTCACAAGTCTTTCTGGATGATGTATCATATTTAGACTGAAAGTAATTTTTTCTTGCACATAAATTAGCATTATTTTTCATTATGCTGTGGCTGATGTTTAAATGTAACTAATTAAAAACCACTGTCTTAGTTGTCAGTTTTGTTTGCACAACTCTCCTGCAGCAGAAAAATCTGGATCGTCCTCATGAACCAGAAAAAGTGCCAAGGGCACCTCATGACAGACGGCGAGAGTGGCAGAAGTTAGCCCAAGGTCCGGAGCTCGCGGAAGACGATGCTAACCTCTTACATAAGCACATTGAAGTTGCTAATGGCCCAGCTTCACATTTTGAATCAAGGTTTCTTTTTATTTTTTCTATCCTTTGTTAAGTGCAGATATTCCTACTGCAATAGTTGAACACGCTCGAGAAACGGTGAACGATGAGATGCCTTGTTATTTTTGATGTTTTCTTATTTTTAAGAGTAGTTGGTATCCTTGGAATTTATTTTAGTCTTGAGGATGTGTTGTCATAGGCAACTTGAAGAAGGTGTTGTGTCACTGTTGCAAGCTTACACCCAGATGTGTCACTACATTCCCATCTTGACCTACAAAATCCCCATTATTCCAGTCTCTTCATTTTTTTCTGTAGCAGACACTGCCAAGACTAGATGGTGGGTGTGATGTGAACAAACGTCCACTTGGAACTCAGATGAGATCACTGAGCTTCTCTTTACTCTTCAGCAAATCCAAGATTTGATTGACGTTTCTGGTTATAGTCTATTACAAAATTCAGCCTGTTGGATTGTCATTTCACAGCACGTATTTGCTGGTGGCTAAAAGTAGCATTTCACATGGTAAACACCTGCTGTGTTTACGCTTCTGATGTTTGTGCAAAACCAGCTGAGGAACTTCCGATGGGAAAGAGGGCTGACATCTAATATTAGGAGGTTTGGTGGTGGATTGTTTGGCTTTTTTTAATGATGATTATTAAAAAGCATTCTTTTTCAAAAAAAAATCAGTTAATTTTTTTCCCCTATCCTTCTCTGGCCAAAAGCACCATAAGAGAGTGTTTTGCTTAGCTTTGTGAGGCCTTCAAACAAAACAACCTTAATAGTGACAGTGGGTAATGAGAACAACTCTAGGAGATAGTGTTTTCTGCCTGGTAAGTGGAAAATCCTTTGTGGAAAACTTAGCTCTCTGCATTCAGAAAGTAAGAATGGTCTCAGTACATTTCAGTCAGTGGGATACACCTCAGGTTATGGTAGTTGGATTTTTCTAGGAACGACTCTGTAGTATCTTATCTTTGTAAACTGCTGAGTAAAGTCATTGGCAGAAACATCTGCTTCCCTGCTGTCCTTCGTTGTGATGTACGTCAGATTCCACGTTGGAAGCGCTTCTTGCAGGACTCCTTTTGTGTCCAGGACCGTGGCGTAAACCTTGAATACCTCAGTACCCTCATGCAATTATGAATAACGCTGTGGCGCTTGGGAGCGCTGCGTGTGCCGAGCACCTCGTTCAGAATCACAGCAGCACCGTGCCTCTGAGTAACAGAGAAAGGCTTCACCCCTGAGGAATTCAATAGGTTAGATACTACAGTGGTGACAGTATGTGGAAGACGTGGAGTACTGCTTGACTTCATAGAATCATAGAACCATAGAATGGTTTGGGTTGGAAGGGACCTTAAAGACCATCTAGTTCCAACCCCCCTGCCATGGGCAGGGACACCTTCCACTAGACCAGGTTGCTCAAAGCCTCATCCAGCCTGGCCTTGAACACTTCCAGGGATGGGGCATCCACAGCTTCTCTGGGCAACCTGTTCCAGTGCCTCACCACCCTCTCCGGGAAGAATTTCTTCCTGACATCTAATCTAAACCTCCCTGATTTCAATTTATACCCATTACCCCTTGTCCTATCACTACCGGCTCTTGTAAAAAGTCCTCTCCCAGTACCCTTGTAGGCCCCCTTCAGATACTGGAAAGCTGCAATGAGGTCTCCTCGGAGCCTTCTCTTCTCCAGGCTGAACAAGCCCAATTCTTGCAGCCTTTCGTCATAGGAGAGGTGAAAAAGGGACATAGGACTTGTTGAAAAGTGTTCTGCAAACACATTTCCTCCTGATTTAATAGAGAAATTTTTTTTAATCTTTAATGGAGTCGTTAATTTCGTATGTGGAAGACGTGGAGTACTGCTTGACTTGTTGAAAAGTGTTCTGCAAACACATTTCCTCCCAATTTAATAGAGATTTTTTTTTTTAATTTTTAATGAAGTAGTTAATTTCCTAACTGATCAGGTCCTTAAGGTGTGTCTAAAGTTGTCATTAATGAGGAAGGTGAATCATTTTAAGCTGTAGTTATCTCAACTGCTGCTACTCGATAGTAAATCCTTAGATTATCTTCCCAGTATCTGTTTGTAGCTACAAAGTATTAGGTCTAAAGTAGTGGGTTCTCTCTATGGGAATGTAGGTCCTCTGGCAGAAGTTCAGCTAAACTATTCAGTTGTAAATTCTACCACTCTAACGTGGATGGATGTTTCACAGATGTTATAAAAGAATATAGTTGCACATAGGTGGGGAGTGAGGAGCAGAAATGAGCAGAAAAACACCCCATGGCAGGTGGAACTAGATGATCTTTAAGGTCCCTTCCAACCCAAACGATTCTGTGATTCTATGATTACCGAGTAGTGTCTGTTCCATAATACACTCTGGTATGTGTGTACTACTAATTACAGTGCTACATTTACTTAAAATAATGTGACTAATAAGCACTAAGAGCACACACATGCTGCAGAAGTTGTCTGATACACCTTTCAGAAGCATTAAACCCTTGAGCTGCTAGAAGCCGTGGCACAGAAAGCAAGATAAATTAATAAAAAGCCATGAAGTACAATATGCAGCATGGGTGCAGGGAAGGTACTCAGATTCAGAAATCCAACTGAAGCATAGACAGAACATTAGCTGAGGGCACTGATACTGACTTCTACCAAAGCTTACTTTGGGTCGTTTTTCACTCTTTTCCTACAGATCTCAAGCATACGTGGATCATATGGATGGATCATACTCGCTGTCTGCATTGCCCTATAGCCAGATGTCTGAACTTCTGAACAGAGCTGAGGAGCGAGTGTTGGTCAGGCCACACGAACCACCCCCGCCACCTCCAATGCATGGAGCAGGAGATGTGAAGCCTGTGCCTCCTTGTGTTAGGTACAGAGGGGTCGAGCCACATGCAGATTTGTTGGGAGAGTTTTCGTTTCCCACCATCCCCCTAACAGTCCACTAGTAGTATTTTCATGCAGCCCAGGCCGTACACACATCCTAAGGGCTATGTCAGTCCACAGCCCTGACATGTCCACAGCTGCAGGGCCGTGCAGGGGTTGGAGAGAAGGTCAGAATCTGAACCCCGTAGGGTGCCGTTGTGGAGACAGGCCTCACCTTGCCATTAATATTGCAACGGTGTCGCCTCCTGAGTTACGTGGCAAGACAAAAAAAACTGTATGGAAGATATTTCTGAGAAAGATGTTGGAATCTCAGGATTTGGCTTTGGAATCTTTGGATTTGGGAAATACGGAATTTGTACTACTGAGCTCTGTTTCAGCCTGTGTGAAAGAAAGAATATATAATACATCGCAGTAAGAGAGTCAGCTGTCAAAACTATATATTCATCACATTTGCTAAACTGCAACTGCTGCTGCTTTTTTTTTTTTTCCCCCTTCCCCCAAGTGTTTTTATTTTCTTTTTTTCTACGCCTTTCCAGAGCTGGATAACTACTTAGAGCATTTTATAGAGCGAAGCTGTGGTTGTCATTCCCCTGTTGTTTTATATCCAAAATCTTCACTTTATGGGCAGGTACATACAACTTGGAGTAGAGGACAGGTAATGCAGACATGGTTGTTAGGTCAGCAAGATGGTAGTCTCTCGGAAAGAATGTCTTTTTACTGTTCAGGAGATTATACAGAGTATAATCATCATGGTACATAATGCTCTTTAATGCCCAGCATTCAGTAGTCTAGAAATGAATCTATTACTATTTTTTCTGCTGTCCAACACTAATAACTTTGTCCTGTCATTGGATATTTCAGTTCTACTACTGGCTTGGCAGAAAATCGTCCTCAGT